GGCGAAAAAAAGTTCATTTGTGGAGTTTCATAGGGGAGGTCACATATGTCTGTAACACTAGGATATCGTACCCCCCACGTATTCTTCTCGGCTAATATTTTGGAAAATAATAGGCGGATAACCCTTGCGGATGAGATATAATGCCATAATTAAACGACCAACACGTCCATTACCGTCGATAAATGGATGAACATGAAGGAAGGTTGAAAGTATACGACTCGCAATTATGAGAGGATGAAGACCACTATTCTTGCTCCCGTCCCGAAATTGTATGAATCTTTCCATCAATGCAGGCACTTCCGCTGGAAGCTACAGAAAATATGATGTAAATCATAATCAAATCGTGATAAAAGAATAATAAGCTAGAACTCACTGGATAAACGGTGTAAACAGAACCACGTGCTTCTACTTCCACCTTTCGGAACTCTCCTGCGTGTTGATAAAGTGAACGATCATGAGCTTCGTCCTCCTCCAATTCAATTACCTCCATAGGTGTATCTTTTAAAAGAATGCGATGGACCTTCTTGATACTATCAAGGTCAATTTCGTGCTCACACTTATACAAATTATTATAAAGAAAATAAGTTGCAAGTAGATGATTTCGGATTTCGATGACTTCATCTTCTGGCTTATCAGAAAGAATATTTGGTGCAGGTAGCATCATTTCTTGATTTTTCAGAAAATCACCCAAGTTGCAGTTCTTATTCAACGAATTCCAAACTCTTTGTGTTTCCCTTAGTCCCAGTGTATTTCCTTCCATGGCGCAACTGTGCTGTGTAAAGCTCACGATCATTCCTCGTAGAAGGTCCACAGACGGAATTTTTGAGGAGCCTTTGATACCATCGATTACTTTCAAAAAACGGTTGTATTCTGCTTGAAAGTCTGTTGATCAAAAAAAGAAATTGGCATTTCAATGCGAAAAGTTACAAGAATCCGCAATTTATACCATAATCTTGTGCGCGCCATTCAAATGGACGAAAGTAGTTATACCATAATCTTGTGCGCGCCATTCAAATGGACGAAAGTAGTCCTCCCAGACTTTCCCAGAGTTAATAAGTTTGATCCATTCTTGTGACCCTTTTTTATGTATCAGAAGAGGCGAGTAAACCTATAAGATAAGTCAAGACGACAGATTTTTGAATATAGAGTCCCATACAATGATTTACAAGCAAAGCGAAAGGACCTTTCTTAACGCATAAATTCTCTGCCTATTTCTCCCACTAAGCTTGTAAATTGTTTCGGTTGAGAATAAACGAAACTGTAAGCTCTTGTGACGACCATAATTGAATATAGAACTCGAAATGGGTGTTCTACGTAACATGATTTTGAGTTTTAAAAATTTTCGAGTTATGCGCGACAAATTGTCACGCAGATCACTTTTACCAAAAAATTGCGTAATGCAGTCCCGATTTGGATGATACAGATCTTTCTTTTTATGATAGTAAAAAACATCTAGAAATTTCTGGACTTCGGCCATAGAAAAGTGGGCCTCAAGTTTTTTTTTGCCGATCATCGCCGATCACTTTCAATAGTGAAAAAACGCAAATTTCAAATCCCTAAGGTTTTTGAAGGAAGCAAGCTATGCTCATAATGACTATACCAATACACAGTATAACACTTGCGCTATAAGAAAATCTGGTTACTTTTTTTAAGTTTTTATAAAAAAATTGGAAAAATATTAAATAAAAGAAGTTTTACATTTATAAACTTACGAATTTGTCAAGGAAAGCGAAAAAGTAGTATTATTTTCTTATAAGGCGCATGTTATGGGGTATGCATTGGCATAGCTTTTATGAGCGTAGCTTGCTTCCTTCAAAAACGCTGGTAATTTGAACTTTGTATGTTATTATTATCGAAAATGATCGGCAAATGATCGGCAATCAAACAATTTCAATTCTTTTCTGCTCGAACACATGAAATTGAATTCTTCCAATATATTTCTTTTTACAAAAAAAAAGCGACTAGAAAATTGTTTCTTGAGTCCAAGAACTGTACCGCTTTTTCTTTATTTAATATTAATGGTTACCAAGCCGTTTATATTCTAGAAATAGAACGCCAAGAAATAAAATGCCAAGACGTCTTGGAATTTTTACTTATATATACGGTTCGAAGACACCATAATTTAGTAAAAAATATCCAATGCCGCGACCAAAAAGACAAGTTAAACATTTACGTGACGCCCGCCTAGGGATTTCCATCGATGGTGATATTACACCAGAAACGGTCAAACGCCAACAGACATTAATGATGCAAACAGCGATAATGTAGACACAACGAAATTAGCAGAACGCGACACTTTATCAGACAGCACCAATGCAATTAAAGTATCGTCAGAACCGCTGGACCACCAACAGACACTAATACTAGATCAAACAACGATAATGTAATTGATATAACGAAATTAACTGAATCTAATGTTTCATCGTCGAATGTTGAAATTCCCAAAAACGCAATACTTCTAGAAAAAAAGAGATCACAATTAATTGATCAAATTAAGTTGCTACCCGATGACGAAGTAGCTGCTGCTTGCCATCTTTTTGAAACGATGAGATATTCTAGCGGAAACCGAAAAGCAAAGATTTTTTCACCATATGTTTTAAACAAAGCTAAGACATTTATAATAGAAGGATTAAGTAAGCATGACTCTTCCTTCACAGCAATTCAATGTAAAATAAACATATTAGAAAAAGAGAATAGAAAGTTACGAAGGGAGAAAAAAATTGCAGAATCTCAAGTCCGCTCGCTTCAAATGAAAGTGATTAAGAGTGAAGGAGCTAAGGCTCGATATATAAGCAAAATTCGTTCAATAACCCAGAAAGGAAAAACAATATCATCGGAACAATTTAAAAAGGAAGCCAAAAAGTTGATAAAACTGAATAAAAAAGAATACACACCACAATTTGTTCAACTAGTTACTGAACTTAGTAACACGGGAATTATATCAATTTCATCGACAGTAGAATGTACAAAAAAGATGTACGCATTTCTGACTGGAGAAGAACTTGATAAGTGGCTATCAACTGGCACAGTTTCTCGTTGGAACCAAGAGATTGCTAAATTATTTACCTGCGAAAGTCTTAACATTGACAGAGAAACACTCTTTTTTACGTATGGGATAATGGCAGATGAAAGTACCAGAGGGGAGAAAAAAATATTTCTAGTTTGTTTTGCTTATTGGAATAATAAAAAAGAGGAACCTATGTTAACGCTAGCAACAATGGCAGATATAAATCGGTGCACAGGGACTGATGTTGCAAACGCCGTTCTAGAGACATGCAAAGACTATAAATTTGATCCGATAAAATGCAATTATTGGCTTACTGATAATGCAGCTTATATGTCGGGATTAAAGGCGGGTGCTGTTGCAGCGTTTAATTTTCGATCTGAAGCCCAGGCATATCGGATTCCTTGTGGAATACATTCTGTGCACATTGCCATAACTAAATTTGAAGTTGAAACTTTCGGAAAGCTAAACACGGCTTCAGATTTTTTAACAGAACATCCGTCAAACCTTTTAAATCTAGCGTATTATCTTCACGATGGATACAAAGACAGCGACAGGGGTAATCCTATGAATATAAAATCTGATACGATTCGAAATTTATACTGGACATTGCTGCAATATCGTCTCAAACAGTACCAACGGCCTATCTCTACTCGTTGGCTATATCAACTCAGAACTGGCGAACAATATTTAAAGCGTAGGGAAATTCATATCCAATTTGCAAACTGGTTTATTCCTCAATTAGAGAACTCTGAAAATGCTCTCTCATCATACGTAAAAAAGTGGAAAGTTTTCAAGATTGGCTGCAAAATCCTACACTTAACTTTCAAGTTAAATGTATGGTAACGTTTGGAAGGAAATTCTATGCTAAAGTTGTTAATTTTCTTACTGGATATGATTATACTCCTCGTGTAATGCAAAACGGCACATTAGTTCATCTTCCTGCTGGTAATAGAGCACATGAATTGCCTGATCAAGTATTGATATGGTTGGGTGAATTATATAAAATAATTGACTGTCCTAATGAGTATTTTCAATCCCTCAAACTAAAACATGGCATTCAAACAGCCTTAGTAAGTTTTTCAAAATGGATGGAATGCTGGATCCACTTACCATTGTCTGTATGTCGCTTAGGAGGAAATTATGGACCAGAATTTGCGCGAGCAGTTACATCAAATATTCTTCATCAATCTTTTGAAATTGAACGAACTTGGAGAGAAGAATTGTACATTGAATTTCTTGAAGAAGACTTATCAAAAGAAATAACTAACTCCTTTGGCTTATTTGATGCTTTAAAAGAGAATGATTTTCTGGAACAATTTCTTGCTTTTGCAAAATCTGATGACGCCTCCAGTATTCACAGTTTTCCACTCGTTTACGATTTTGTGAAGTACAAAATTTGGCCTATTGTTGTTCATCAGCAACAGATTGAAGGGATGTTTAATAAGTATGATATAAGAACTGATCCTAATCAGAAAACCACGTTACAAGAGGCCCGAATGCAGCTAACCTGTTCCACTGCTGAGAAACCAGTTACTGAAGAAATGCTGAAGACAGTTCGCAGAGAAATTAGAGAAGCAAAGGAAGATAAAATAGAAAATTTTGGAGAGGAAGCGGTGAAATCTATATTACAAGATTACGTTATCTTAAAAAAATAACATTCGTAAATAAATTATGTATTATCTCTTCTTGTAATTAAGTGCCTCATGTGACGCCTTAACAGCCTAATTTACTAGATTCTGACCAGCGATAAGTAAAAGTGACTAACTATCTTTTGATTGCCGATCATTTGCCGATCATTTTCGATAATAATAACTTACAAAGTTCAAATTACCAGCGAAGCAAGCTAC